GGATCCTACAGGTGTCTGGGGGGGAATAATAAGGACGTCGTGTAACATGTGTCTGTGGCCTTTTGCACCTTGAATTAATTTGCCTACTTGAAAACACATCATTTAACATTAAGTTGTCAGGATGGCCGAGCGGTCTAAGGCGCTGCGCTCAGGTCACAGTTTGGTTCTGCAGGCGTGGGTTTGAATCCCACTTCTGCAATTGTTTTTTCATTTTTTTTTCGTTTTTTTTGTCCACACTGCAGACGCTCTACTACTTGATATAGAGTCATATACTGTATCTCTAGCACTTATTGGAAGCTGTAAAAAATTGGTTGGCCCTTGAAACACAACTTGGTTTGATCTCTGCCACAAAATCAAGAAATATGTCTAAAACGTTTCCTTCGTTAAGTCTCTTTGAAGAGACAAATGATATACAGCTGATGATATCCTGCTTGCTGACCTAATGTATATCCTCATCAGAATATTTGTTGAGGACATACATTAAAGGTCAGCAAGCAGGACATTTTTCATGCAAAGCTTAGTTTTTTCCTGGGTAAATCAATTTTTATGGAAAATCATAGAGCTCATCTTGTTCTTTCACAGAGCTCCAAAATGTCTGCCAAATGGTTGGCTATTATTCTCGTCATAGTCTGTTGCCTTGCTGGGGACAGTGAAGAATTCCCCCAGCAGGACAAACGCATTTCCGAAAGAATCAGTAAAGGCGGTGACAAATCTTCTTCTTCTTCATCATCATTGGCAACACTGGAAGACGAGAATTGCGCATGCAGTTGCGGCGTTTGTTACACCAAACCCGAATGGCGTCCCCCAGCACAACCCAACTGCACCACCTTTTGCATTTATCGAGTCAAGCACTACGAGCCTTGCTTTTCGGGCGACATCTGTGCGCCACTGGACTTTGTTCCCGTCTATGACTACTACCAGGTGCAGTTCTATAATGGGGACTAAAACCCGCATTTTGCTGATCCATCGTCAGCCTTTTTTTTTTTTTTGAACTGCTAAAGTATAGAAGAGAAAACTTGATAAAAGAGCTAGTATTTTAAACTTAAGAAAAAGTGTCAAGTTTGCTTTTTTGGTTTGAATTCCTGAGAATAAAGTAGACACTTGTTTGAATCCCCACAAGAATAAAGTAGACATAAATAATGATGAATTATGAATAATAAACTAAGAGTATTTTAGACTTCATAAAAAGTGTCAAGTTTGCTCTTTTGCTTCATAATTGTTGAGGATTCTCCACAAGAATAAATTAAGACCAAATAATAATGAATAACTAAGAGTACAGTATTTTAAGCTTGATAAAAGTGTCAAGTTAGCTCTTTTGTTTTAGAAATGCTGAAGATTCCTACAAGAATAAAGTAAGAATAAATAATAGTGAATTACACTTCAGTAGAATTCATGAAATTCTGCTTTGAGAAATTTTCAGAAATAAGTAAGGACTATAAAAATTGTAGTTCACTACTCTTGCCAGGCATTCTTCTTTGTTGAACTGCCAAAATCTAAGAGAAAACAGCAGAGTATATAAAATTGAGATAAATAGTTTGAAGGGTTTGCTTCTTTTTCAATTGCTGAAATAGGGGCCAGTGCACAATTTTCCTCTGAATAATGAAGCAAGCCTATCAGGAACTCATCAAAAAAGAAGAAATTTGCAAAGCAAAATAGGCACTAAAAATATTTTTGCTATTATTGCCAGGAATTCTTGTCTGTGGAACTGGAAAAATCTACTAGGAAACTTAAGTGGAGTGTAATTTAAACATGAAAAAAGTAGGAATACACACAAAAGTCTCTATCATTTTCTCTGAGCTTGAGAAATAGTCTCAGGGACCACATGGAATTTATGGTTTTGTATCACTCATGATTCAAACCTGCAAATTCCTCCGCAGATTTATTTTTCATTGAATTTCATCAATTAATTTGTTTGTTCTTTTTTCTGCATAAATCTCTTAACCAGTTTGGGGCCTGAAAAGGTCTAGACTCTAGATTTTTAAAATTTATAGATGTTCTGTGCATGAGCTCTGTTGACAAAGTTATGATTCTTTTGGGCAGATTCAAATTCCATCCAAGGTGAGAGGATGGANACAAAATTTGGGACAAAAATACAGATTGTAAAAGGAAACATCTCCAAAAATGGACTGGGAAAGCCTTTTAATAAAACATGTTCTGTGATTCAGACCTGGCATATTTTTGGAGAAAGTTTCTGTAGGCATGATGATGGTATAATCTTTTTGAGAACTGCACTATTTGGGGTTTATTTGTCAGAATTCACTCTTCCCCATGAGACTTCATCAGCAGTGGAAAAATGGGGAACACTTAGCATTCCAAGAATGTAAGTGACATAAGAGGACAAGAATTGCTTCAAGGGTTTTCATTCCAATTTGAATGAACACCTAAGGTATAGTTTTGAAATTCTTTGCCAAAAGTTTGATTCTTTAAAATTAAAATATGGTACTGTACTGATATTGTAAACCATCCAGGAACAGATTTATTTTGCCATGAATATGTGCCCAGTGATATATTTTTTGAGTGTGCCATGCACACATTTTTGTATGAAATTGTGGATCATCCCAAAGACAGAAAAAAGCTGCCCAAGTATAAAACTCAACACCCACATTTCTCCCACGCCTCCTTCTCAAAAGTCATTAAGATGATGGAGAGAAAGACGCAGGAGGGAGAGAAATACATGAGAAAGAAATAGGAGTGTATTAGTGAGACAGAGAAAGAATGAAAGGGAGAGAGTAGAATTCAAGATGACTGAAGATAAGTAACAATAACTCTCTCATCTTAGACGTCAAGTCACTCAGGGGCTGATGTTGGAGAGGAAGTCAAACAGGCAAAAAAAAAATTCTAAAAAAAACGAGTTCACAGTTCGGCTTGTCCAAGTCTGAAAAATCCTTCTTTTTGCGCTTCAAATCCGCTAAACCTGTCCGCCGGTCTTTCCATCTGACTTTCCCTGTGTCATTTTACCCTACCTGACAGTGGGACACAGACGCGCGCGGGCGCGGAATGAGTGAGTGCAAGCGGCCCCATTGCACATTATAATTAAAGCATTTCCAAAAATTTTCTAAAATGTTTTTGAATTCCCCCAAGTTTTCTTGTTCCCGAAAATTATATATTTTACGCAATAAATGAGGAAGTGATTCAGCAAGAGGGGGAATTAAATTTTGCCCAGAGAATATATGAGACCACATTTTTACAAGAGGAAGGAAGAAACCTTGAATCACTCAGCACTCACTCAACCTCAAAATTCAAACCAAAGAGTGCCCAACATATTTACACCAAAATATCCTTACATAGAATGTCGAAAAAATTTTCAGGAAATT